AAAAAAAAAAAAAGTAATTGAAACTTATTTGATGGAGCAATAATAATAGTTTGAATATATTGGTACAAACCATTGTTAATTTTAATTAATAAAAACATCTACTTACTGAAATATATTTATCATGTTATAACTGAGTGAAAAGTGTACTTATAATTACTTCTTTACCATTCAGGTTCATTTAGTAGGACTACAACACTTACTATGTCCAGCATTGAAGATCTGATGAATTTATTGAAATCATCAGAGTACTCTAAGAAAATACAACCTAATGGATTTAGTAAGTATTTTCTCTATTTTATTATAAGTATAAGTTTATATGTTAATTTGTTTGATGGTTATCCAATTTCRTGTTAATGTTATTTTGTTTCTATATACCTATAGTCTTGTCTGATGAAGAATTGGATGCTATTTTAGATCGATCTGATATGTACAATTCAACACCTAAGACACTTGCTTCTCATACTGCTGAACACTTTAAAGTATTAACAAACTCTTAAATATATTTTTATTTTTTTTTTGATCTACTAGTTTTTGTTATAAGAATTACCTAGTTAAATGTCACTTATAATATGTTTTTTTAAATTGATAAAATATGAATTTTTAATGTCAAATATATTATAATTTTACTATAAGATAACCATTACTTATTATGCATTTATTTTTATGAGTGTATTTAATTAATAATTATACTTAAATATTTAAATATAAAATAAACTTCTTATTTTCTCACAAATTATTTGTTACTTAATATGCCATTATAGTTATGAACAATATGTAACAACTAGTATCTAAACATTTTTTATATTATTGCAAAATATCCACAAGAAAAATGTAAAATAGGTGCCTTTTTTAATTATTCAAAGTTTTAAGGTTAATATCAGAATTAGTTAGTTGGAACCATTATAAACATAAAACAAGTGGATGTTATGTGTCATTACTATGATATCATTCTACATGAAAAAGTATATCTGCCACCATTATGCGCTAGTTGGAAACCACAATAGTTATCTGGTTTTATTGTATTTCATTCATATTTTACATAAATAAAGGGCACCAATTGTTATTGCTATTATTTTTAAAACCACTGATTACAGTGATTAAATCAAGCTAATAAAGTATTTATAATATAAATTGAGTGGAACACAATGAAGAGACTAATCTATTTTTGATTCTAAAAATGCAATGCATACACCAAGGCGTAAATTACTAACTGGAATTTAAAATTCTTAGTCTCCAGTCTCTGGCTTCTGAGTAATAAAGCTAGTAGTTATAGTTTTTTTTAAATTGTTTGTGCTATAAATAATAGTATACATATATTAAATATATTATATTATAATGTATTACCTAGTGTGTTGTATTTTTAGATTACAATAAAATAACTAATATCGTCATTCTTGGTTTTAATGTGTAATTTTGTCAAAATTTAAACTTAAAATGTCTATAAAAAGTAATTTTTATTATAGTTTTTAGATTTTTTGGTTACAGTACCTAAGTACTATTAATGAAAATTCTTGTTATATTCATGAATTTCATGAATTTCATAAATATTTAAACATTTAACTAATTTAACTTTTTATAACTAATTATAAAAATAAAATGACCCTATGAATCTTTAGAATTTGTCAATTACTTTTATAACTATTTATGAGGAACCTTCGATTAAATTTTAAATTCAAACGTTCATAAAAAATTACTGTGGATTCACAATCAATTTTGTCCAACAATAACTTACGAGAAACCTTATTGTATGACATTTTTATGTTTTTTTTAAGCGAAAATTATTTTATCCCCTCCTAAATATCAACTTTATTAATTTTCCTATCATATATCATAAAATACGCTGTTGAAAAAAGTCTAAACATTTTTATTGTGCATTTGTGCCTAAAGATTGTGAGTGTTATGATAGACAAAAATAATTGAAAAAAACACATCATCTTAAAATAAATACATACATATACCTACCTAGGTATTTGTCAAATATAATAATTTATACAACATAATTTTTTTGATTTATAAAAAAGCCAATTAAATTTATTATAACTGTTTAGTTTATAACAATGTTAATAAAATTTAACTTTGTTAATAATATAGCAATTAATATGATTATAGTGTGCTTTTATTTAATGCTGTGATGT